GGAAAAGATTGGATCAGAACCCACTGACTTTCCAGTATTACCATACAAATGAAATACTTTCTAGAAACAATAATCTGGGGAATCACGGTTTAAACAAGGAATTGCCTTTGACTGTAGTTGAAACTCTGAAAGTATTTTGAATTTCTAATTTCTTGAACAAATAATTGCCTCAAATTCACTTCGCTTTAATTCTGAGAACCGAAAAACATAGGGATCCTTGAAAAATGCAATGGCCCACATGCCAGACAGAGGAAAGCTGAGATTAAACGCGTAAATTATTCTTGCTCTAATACCCTTAGCCAGAAAAACCTTTAAAGCCACACATCGAAGAGAAGCTCGTTAAAGTCACAGCCTCTTTGAACCTAGCCCAGTGAACCACGGGCTCCCTCAGGCGCGACTCTGGAATTCAGAATTCTCCGTGGCTGAGTCCCTGCCCTCTTAGATCTCAGGGAATTTCGCAAACTATGACTCTCGGCCTTTGAGGGGAGAGGACTTTCCAGGGGCGCAAGATGCGCCACCCGGGAATCTCACCATCAGTGGGCGTTTAGCGCAGCCAAGCGACCGGCTGGCGCCAGGGCTCAGCAACAGGGAGGTGCCGGCTGAGGCGGGGAGAACTTTGGCGCTCGCAACAGAACCACCCTTTGCTGGCCAGTCAGAGCGCTCCTCCGAGGAAGCGAGCGGCGCTGGCGACTGGCTGGAAAGAGAAAGACCGAGAGAGGAAGTAGCGAGGTGCGGAGGAAAATGAAGCCGGCGCTGGGGGAGCACGCGAGAGGGTGGCCGACAGTGCAGCAAGGCGGATTTGGCTTCTTTTCCGCACCCCGGGCCTGAACGTCCCCTCCAGCGCGACCCCAGGGAAAAAAAAAAAAAAGTGCGTCTCGCCTGGGCAGAAAGAGAAAAGAAGGAAAGTGAGCGTATTGCCCTTGTGTCACCGCCGTCCCCTTGGAACTCCTGTGATTCTCAGTCCAGCCGCCCCGCGGGGCAGGACGCAGTGCCCGAGGTGCCCTGCAGATGGGCGGGGACCGGCCCCCCACGCCGCGGGGGCCAGGCGCCGGCCCGCCCGCCTGCCCGGCTCGTCACAGGGACCGGGCGAGAAGAGGATGTGAGGCCGAGGGACCTGGGTCCTGAATGTGAGGCTGTCAAGGGCGCGCTAGGGACCAACGTGGATGGCCGGGAGACCGCTGCAGCTCCTGGGACCGCTTCACCGCGTCGAGTGAAGCTGCGCGCGGGATCTGGAGGCGGAGACCTTAGGCGGCGGCTGCACAGGGGCGAGCCGGGCGCAGGAGGGGGCGCGCTTTCTCCCTGCGGGTCTCAGTAATGAGGAGACTGAGTTTGTGGTGGCTGCTGAGCAGGGTCTGTCTGCTGCTGCCGCCGCCCTGCGCACTAGTGCTGGCCGGGGTGCCCGGCTCCTCCTCGCACCCGCAGCCCTGCCAGATCCTCAAGCGCATCGGGCACGCGGTGAGGGTGGGCGCGGTGCACTTGCAGCCCTGGACCACGGCCCCCCGCACGGCCGGTCGCGCTCCGGACGGCAGCCGGGCAGGCGCCCCGCGGGATGAGCCGGAGCCTGGGACTTGGCGGCCCCCGGCGCCCTCGCCTGGCGCACGCTGGTTGGGGAGCGCCCTGCATGGCCGGGGGCCGCCCGGCGCCCGGAAGACGGGAGAGGGTACTGGGGCCGAGACCTTGTGGCCGCGGGACGCGCTCCTATTCGCCGTGGACAACCTGAACCGCATGGAGGGGCTACTGCCCTACAACCTGTCTTTGGAAGTAGTGATGGCCATTGAAGCGGGCCTGGGAGATCTGCCGCTTTTGCCCTTCTCGTCCCCCAGCTCGCCGTGGAGCAGCGACCCCTTCTCCTTTCTGCAGAGCGTGTGCCACACTGTGGTGGTGCAAGGGGTATCCGCGCTGCTTGCCTTCCCCCAGAGCCAGGGCGAGATGATGGAGCTCGACTTGGTCAGCGCAGTCTTGCACATCCCGGTGATCAGCATCGTGCGCCGCGAGTTTCCGCGGGAGAGTCAGGTGAGAGGAGTCTGGCGTGGAGGAGAGATGGGCGCTGCTGGGGGCCAGGACCACGGCCCGGGTGGGGAGGCGGGGAGGCGGGGAGCAAGGCGGAGGTAGGGCCCTGTGAAGTCCGGAGGGACTTGTGGCTTTATAACTTTGGTGTTGTGTAGGGATTGACCCGTGCCCTCGGGTGGTAAGTAGAAGGACCTCCGTCGAAGTAGAATAATACATTTTAGGCACAGGTGGAAATAAAATGTGGGCTGAGGTTCGTGGATGGAAGGAAGCGGGGAGAAGACGCGGGGCCGGGGTGGGGGGCTTCGTTTTGACCCCCTAGAAGAAATCTAGTGGGTGTTCCACGGACGTAGAAGTCGAGGTTCAGGACCGCGGAGAGCGGTCGAGGTTCCGAAGTCTAGAGCGGGGAAGGAAGGTGGATCCTGAGTCCGCTGGTCTCACGCCCTCCTGGGGAACTCTCTGAGCGTGTGGCCAGAAAGCAGCATCCACTGTCTGACTTCAGACGGTGTGCCTGCTCCTTAAGCGATGATGTAAGGCAGGAAACACAGCCCTTGAATTCTCTGAGTAAACAGAAAATCTGCAACTAGTAAGAAGTGCGGTTTATTAGTCTCGGGTATTGGGAAACATTAGAAGTATTCCCTGACAGCGTACAAATGGATGGGGACACTTGTTTGGGGGTTGTTTCTTTGTCCCTCCCTTCTTTCTGTGTGATGTTGGCTCAGAAGCTGGTATGTCATTTCTGTGTTCAGTCCGTTTCTGCTCTCATTATCTAAGAATAAAGGAACAGCAATCTGATGACTTCATTTCCTTTGGGTTATAAATCATAAATATTTTGCCAATAGAAGAAGTTATTTGTGAACCTAACTGTGGGCCAAAAAATCGATGAGGAGATAAGTACTTGAGAGGACAGGGTCCTTTGAGCAAGAGTCTTTTCCTGCTTTGTATATATTACTGTCATAATATCAAACTCTATTTGCACAAAGTATTTTAGGCAAATAGGTCATTGGCCTTAGCCCCATTTTAAAGATAGGAAAACTAAGGAAAGTTTGGGGACTTGATCAACATTGGGCAGTGTAATAGTAAGAGCTCAGAAACTGAAGGATTTCTGATACTACATCATGTTCCCTCTATCCTCCCAGCAGCAAAATTATTTCTAAGCTCTTCTGATACATATATACAGAGATAAAAACTAAAATGAGTAAGGGCAATGTATAAGTGGAAAGTTTGATAGACTCTATGCATAAAATATCAAGGGAGTACTAAAGATGTCTTTTTCCAGCAAAAATGAATCTTACATTTTTCATCTTAGGAAGGGCAAGGTACGAGCCACCCTCAGCAGTTACCCAGAAGATTCCTATTTCATGCTGCACGATAGAGATTTGATCGCCAGAGTGCAGGCTAATTAACTTTTATCTAAAATATTTCTGTCACCTGAATCTAAATGACTGTAGGCAGCAGATGGGAAGGTATGGAAAACACAGGTGTGCGATGCTGCCAATGGCCAGAGTGTTATAAACATGAAATTGCATCCATAGGGTGCATCATTAGTAATATATATGCAGAATCAGATCTTAACAAAATGCAGACATCAGCACCACTTGTTTCTCATCATTGCCTCTTTATTACCTCATACTTCATAAGTTGCCAATAGCGGTCACAGCCTCCAGCCTCCTTTCCACTGGCGTATTGTTAGCAAGAATTTTTTCCCAAAATTAGTGTTCTTTAGTTAGAAGGTAAATTGTCTGTGTTCGGTGGTGGATGTGTGCAATAACCAGCATGTTACACCAAAGGAACCAGAAAAAAAAAAATCATGAAGCAGCATCTAGATTGAGGAAACTTCAAAGCTTTAAGACCACTGGGAGAATAAAGTCCTCCCTTACAAACTGACAGCAAAATAAGTAATCCAGCAAGCACATTACCTTCTGTATTTCAATTTAGAAATATATTTTAAATCATTGTTGTCAGTTACTTTCATGGTACATAATTTGAATAGAAGAGACTAATTATGTTAACTCAGATCCAGTTTGTGTGGCTGAGGACATTTTCATTCATCTCCCTAAATGTTTTAAATTCAAACATCTCACTTGTCTTACTCTTGGTATATCATCTAAATGTTGTTCTATAATAGTCTAGATCAGGAATGTCCTGCTCAATGCAAGACAGTGTAATAAGTAATTTTAGAATTAGGGCCATAATTTGCTTTCAAAATAACTGATATTTCTCTTGCTTTCAAAAAGTGGACTTTCTTCTACTTCACTGATGTGATTGTTAAAACCTTTCTATATATAAAAGGATATAAATGTCATTTTTATACAATAAATAAAATTGATTTATTTTAGCCACTATCTTCAGAGTCTGCAGCCCAGTGACCGAATGTTAATTGTGACAGGGCCTGAATAAAGGATTCTAGAAAAAATTGGATTTATACACACAACCAAGTAAAGTAAAAGTACGTCTCTTATTTAAACAATCAAAGTTGCTTTTAAAGCAAGAGCAGCAACAGCTGCTTTCGCTCACATTCTTTTGGGCTGCTGGTTTCTAGCATATTGATTAATTACTAAGTGATGGTTCTGTAACACACTGCCACAATTCTTGAATGAAAATAGGTAACACTGAGATGACCAAACTCCTGAGAAAAGTGTAATAGTTTTCCTTCAGTATACCACTTGTTCAAAATGTAAATACAGAAGAACATCAGCTTGGAAAGGACCAGCTTTCTGCACGCAGGGAAATTTAACGTAAGTTAACTACCCACTTTTGGTAAACATACGTTTATTAACAACGCATAATAAAAGTGTAATGTAACGTGACACACGAGATGGGATTCAAATATGTTTCCATCCAAAAAACATTCTAACTTTACTTCCACACCTAAAGTTCTACTTAAGGCTAATTCATTTTATTAAACTGACCACTTCTTAGCTAAGAATTCTATTTCTGTAAACCTCGAATAATGACGCTGCATATCAACCTAGTTCCATTTAGATTATGTCACATGAAGTCCCTTTATTGTTCTCTCCCCTTCCCACACTACTTTTTGTCCTAGAGATTTTGAGTGGTTTATTCAAAGTCAACTCCTTAAAATTCACTTGCTGATGTAATGAAAGATACACATTTTTTTCTCAAATATATACCTCATCCATTTCCACATGTATACCATAAACAGAATAAATGAGTAATATAATTAACTTAGATCCACGTCCATGCAATTGAAAAGTGACTACACTATTTTCAACTCTTTTTACATTTTTTTGAAAAATGTAGACATTATTCTCTGGGCTTTTTTTTTTTTAATTCAACTCTTGAATATACCAGCCATAATTTTACCTCTTTTATGAATCATATGTGCTAATTAGTGTATGTTTATTTCCACCAAAATATAAATGTCTTAGATGGCCCATCTTCTCAGACAATATAGGTCTAAGTTCTAAAGCCTGTTGATTAGAATTTGGCTTGCACAGTGCTAGTTTTGCATGTGAGACAGAACAATGATACCACTTCATAATTTAGGTGCCTCATGAGGAGACCAGCAAAGGATATTAATGTTTAAAACATCTGCTCTCAGCTACACGACTTTTCCGTGACTTACTCCATGGAAAGCACAACTCTCTCCTCTGAGGGAAATGCATTCTACAATTCATGATGAACAGCTGATAGTTGCAACTAATTGTTGCTGACTTGGAAAATAAATTATTTCAAATTACATGTCAAGTAATGCAAAACATTTTCTTTTTTAAAAACAGAATTATTTTATTTAATTTTTTATTTATTTATTTAAATTTGACCAGACAGGGACAGAGTGAGAGAGAGAGGGAAAGTGAAAAAGCAAACTGCCAGGTCTGAGACTCAAAACAAGGTCAACCATATGGGAATCCAGCACCCTTAACCACCACGCCACCTGCCAGTCAATGCAAAACTTTTTCTAGTAGTGATCTTTTACAGGTTCTTTTTCTTTTTTTTAGAGAGAGAAATTTTTGCTATAGGGCACGTGTTCTCACCATAGAGAAAGAAAGCAAAAAAACCCCCCCGGGGGAATGGCCATGCCACAATCACTTCTCCATTCTCCTCTCAGGATTTTTGGCATGCAGAACATACACCCAATGTGAGTTTTAAGCTGCTGAGTAAAGAACTCAAACCATGGTCAACTATGTGGGAGTCCAGCAATGCAACCATTATACCATCTGCTGGTCCCTAGGGCTCTTTTTCAAGAATAAAGACCTGGGGAACCAGCAGTTAGCATAATGGCTATGTCGCTGGACTCCCACATAGTCGACCGTGGTTCGAGTCCTGGACCCGGTGGCTTAAAACTCACGCCGGGCGCGTGTGCATGCATGCCCAAGATCCCGAGAGGAGAATGGAGGAGAAGGGATTGCGGCGTGACCATCCCCCCAGGGGGGTGATTTCTCGCTTTCTGTCTCTCTGTCTCTCTCTGTCTGTCTGGTGAGCGCACACGCCCTATAGTGAAAACCTCTCCCCAAAAAAAAAGAAGAAAGACCTGGGGTTAATTCAGAACTTGTTTTCTGTTTCTTTGTTTTTGTATTTTTTTTAATTTACTTGGTCATTCATGTACAATATTTATTTATTTATTTTTTTATTTTTTTATTTTTTTATTTATAGATAAATAGAGCAAACAAGACTAGCAGACACTACTTACTGGGCAATTAGTCTGTCATACTTTTCTTTGTGCCCACCACAGGAATGAAATTGAATACATAAAGGATATATTTGCTCTTAATCTTACTTGATCATTATATCTTTAATTTATGATTGACTCAGTTGAGCTATATAAAGACCAATTTCAATATCTAATCCTTAGTATTTTATCTTCCAGTATTGAGTGAAGATACCATGGATTTTTGTATTATTAGATTTTATTTCATAGATACTCCAAGCCAAATTTCAACCGCATTGGTTTTTAAAACCAAACTACCTCTGACTCTTATTGGCCATGTAAACTTGGGGAAAATGACTTTGTCTCTAAGTATCTGTAATTATTGGTCAAAAGA